GCAGGGGGAGTGGGAGAGGGAGAAGTAGGCTTCCTGCCAAGCAGGGAACACAATGTGGGGATCCCAGGACCCTGGGATCATGACCTGAGCAGAAGGCAGACGCTTAACGACTGAGCCACCCAGACACCCCATCTTCATGTCCCATCTTGTACAGGTGGCTTCCACACGGGGCAGGGACCCTTTGCCCTGTGGCCTATGGGTGGGCTTGCTGCCCCCAGAATGTGGATGTGGACAGCCGGGAAGGCTCCTTGACCCAGGAAGGCTCTCCTAAACCCCTCAGCCATTCAGCCAGCTTGCTGCAAGCCAGAAATGTATGGCAACTTTAAAGAAACAAAGAAGAGACCGGGGGTGGGGGTGGGGTGGGGAGTGCAGGCAGAAAGGGAGCTTTGGTGGCAAAGGAGGGGGGTGGACGTTTTATTGACTTCCTCTTAATTGCTGTAATTAAAAACATGTAAAGAATCTTTTTGTAACGACTTTGCCATTATCTTAGTTGTTAGCACAGCTGCCTTATTAATTTCTCGTTAGAACCCAATTCACAGTCCTCTTTGGGAAGGGGGGTGGGAGCCAGAGGTGGGTCTTGCCTGGCCCAGTCCCAGAAGGGGCCTGGAAGGGCAGCATCACTGGGAACCGGCTGCCTGGAGCCCCCAGGGCAAAGCCTTCTGCCCCCCACCCCGGGATGCAGAAACCCACCAGGAGAGATGGAGGGGTCCAGAGAAGCAGCCATTGCCCTCCCATCATTAGACCTGTGGGCATCTGTGTGACTGTACAAGAGACAGGTGGCCAGACAGACAGATGCAGGTCTGTGGGCACACAGCGGGGAGAGCCCCTGGACTGGGACTGGGTGAGCAAGATGGAAGGTTTATGGAGACGCTGCTATCGGTGTCCTGTGAGTGCACGTTGAGTACCTGAGGGGGAGTGCCTCCTTCACTTTTGCATCCTCCATGCCTCACCTGCCTTACCCTAGCCCCAGCTCCGGAGAGCAGACATGGTGGCTAGGCCAGAGTGAGAAAGGTGAGTTTATTCCAGGACGCAGAGGGGAGAGGAAGCGAAAGCACAGAGAAGTTAAGCAACTTGCCCAAGGTCACACAGGTAGGGAGAGGTGAGCCTGAATTTGAATGGGAGGGGGGCGGGGGGGACGGTTCACGGCTAGACCCTACAGTGTCCTGACAGCGAGGCAGGAGAAGGTGGAAGGTAGAAATGCTGGCTGTGGGACCTTGGGCTGTCCTCTACCTTCTCTGAGGCTCAATTTCCCCATCTCGAGATGTGGTTTGTACCACATGCCTTCCTGCCTCTCAGACTTGTCCTGGGAACCCACGGAGGAAAGACAGGCACACAATTACACTGAAGGAGGGATCCTTCTGGAGGCTCTGCCGTATCTCCTTTGGCATCTCCTGAGGGAATCTGCGTCTGTTCCAAAAGGTCTTGGGGCACGTGCTCACCTTTCCGGGAGGATGGAGGCCATACTTCTTCCTTTGTCTGCCCCCCTCCCACCCCCCTGCACGCATACACCAGGTGCCCAGAGTCCTAAGCTACTCAGTGCCGAGGCTGGGGCTGGAAGCCACACCTCCTGAGCCCCTTTCCCCGCCATGGCATGGCCATGTTTTAGGCACAAAAGAACCCAGGAATTCCTTGTAAGCATTTTCATCTACTCGCCTCTGCGGACAGCCAAGAAGAGCACGTCACCCCCACCCCGTGGTGGGAGATGGCGTCCATCCTAGGTAGACACAGCATCCGTTTGCGGCGTTATCTGGACATGGGACAGTCCAGTCCAGAGCACCCACCGGGTTCCCTGGGAACCCTGACCTCAGCAGCTAACCCCCTCTCTCCCCACCCCCACCCCATTTTGATTTTTCTATTCCTGACCTTAGATGGCAGTGTGGCAAGGGGGGTGTTTTGGAATCAGGCAGCTGTGGGTTCAACTCCTGCTCTGGTACTTCATCACTGTGTGACTTAGGCAGCCTTGTGGGATAAGGACGGGAGAGAATGGTGCGCACTGCCCAGCAACAGGTGGGAAAGAGCGAGGTGGGTGGGGGTGGTTTTGCTAGGTCCCCCTTTCCCCAAACCCAGGATCCTGGAAGGTGTTTTGAGGGGTTGGGGGACAGGTTGGACAGCAAATTCTTCAACTTCCGTAACTAGAGAGAGAGACCCCCTCAGATGAGACAAGCGTGTCCAGCAAGGGAGGGGATGGGGAGGTGAGTTCCCCTTCTCCATCCCGCCATGGCCACCGGAGTGGGGTGAAACCATCATTAACTTGTCAGGATGAGTGTTTTTCTCAACTGCCCACTGGAGTCCCAGGGCTCCCCTCACTCCTCTGGCTTGAGGTCCAAAGGGCTGCAAGTAGTGACTTCTGCTTTCGGATGCTATGGAGCAAGGCGTCTCGGTGCGGTTTGAGGAGCGGTTCTCGGGGCTGGCCTGGGGGCTGCAGCTGGTGGTCAGGAATGGGGTGAACCTGGGCCTCCCCACTGCGTTCGGTCCTTCGGGCCCTTCCAGGTACGCCCCTGCTCTCTGCCAGGGACCACCTGTAGCCACATGGGCACAGCTAAGCAGCAGCCCCACAGAACCTGGTGGCAGTGATGGTTGTGACCATGTCCAGAGGCTCCTGAAGCCCGGGCTGACACGTGGCTTTGAGGGGGTAGGGACGCCCCTGTGAGAGGCAGGTGAGGGGCAGATACTGGGCTGACTGCAAGGCCTAGGTGTGACTGTCAGCTCACTGCTCTGCATTTGGCCAGAACAGTGTGTGCCAGGAGCCCTTCCGTTCTGTGGCCTGTTTCTTCTGGCCTTAGCACGATGCTACAGACTATTAATTGCAGCAGTAACTCTCACTGACTGGGCAGGCACTGGCTAGGTGCGTTGGGCACACGAGCTCAAGGAATTCTCTGGACGAGCCTAGACTGTCGGGGACATTGTGTCCTGGATGGCATTTCCAACTGCATGCACACCGACATACGCACCTATGTTACCACCAGCGCCACGGTGAGCAAAGAAGGCAGACCAACCTAGGCATGCACATTTGCATGCATACAAGCACACACATCTGTGGATACGTGCATATGCACACACGTGCACACGTGTTCTCTCCCACATGCAGGGGACAAAGCAGCAGACATGCACACACACACACGCGCGCGCATGAACCCACACTCACGCACGCACACTTGCACGCACACGGGCATACGCATGCACGCACAGTCTCTGGAGGCTGGCCCGTGGCTCTGCCCCTGCCCCGCGGGACTCTGGGCACTGGCTAAATGAAGCTCCCCGGGAGCTCTCCAGCGGCTGACAGTGCCCTGATCCATCATTTTAATTCAGGGCTTTTCTGCTCCTCTGAGTGAGCTGAGTTGCCTTTAACGCTGATTTATGGAGACAATCCGTCCTCCACTTTTGATTACAGTTGTTTTCCATAATTATTATCAACACTCTTTGCCTCGCTTGAGGTTTCCTTTTAGATTTCTCTCCCCTACTTCTGTTCAAGTTACAAGCTCTCTCCTGTGCTAATTCAGAGGCGAGCCCCTGTAGGCTCTGGATGAGAAGGTGTCTTTTTTTTTTTTTTCTCTTAAATTTCAAGGCTCACTAAAGCTTTCCACACTCCCATGTCCCACTGTGCCACCTTGGACCTCTGCCCCTGGAAGAACCCAGAATGAAACAGCCCATAATGAGGCTCATTTCTAGCACACAGCAGCTATTTTAGGATGGGAGGTAGGACTGAGAAGGGGATGCTGAGTCTCAGGGGGAGGGTGTTGATTGGTGCTCTGGGGCCCTGGCCCCTGAGATGCACTTGGGATCTTCTGAAGCTGCCTTCCCTCCTTCCATTTGAGAAAGTCCTTCCGGGGACCGGGGGAGGGACTTACAGGGGCCTACACTTAACTGTCTGCTCACCTGGCTCCTCCAGGAACCCAGACTCGTCACCCCTGCCCCTCCCTCTTAGGGTCATGGTGCCACCATGAGGCATCTCCCAACGACTCCGCAGATCAGGGGACCCGCTTGCTGTTACTGCTCCAGCACTGAGCGAGTTGGAGGATGGAAAGGTTAAGGTCATGGGGGGCACCAGGAAGTCTGCGGAGAAGAGTGTCATAGCTGGAGAGATTCAGGTGGGCCATCATGAAGACCCCCAACTGTGAGGCCCAGCCAACCCCAGAGGAGGCCCTTGAACCGGGTGATAGGGCCCCCTTTTAAAAGAGAAGCAGCTGGAGCAAAATAAGTCAAACAGAGAAAGACATGTATCATATGACCTCACTGATATGAGGAATTCTTAATCGCAGGAAACAAACTGAGGGTTGCTGGAGTGGGGGGTGGGGTGGGAGGGATGGGGTGACTGGGTGATAGACACTGGGGAGGGTATGTGCTTTGGTAAGCGCTGTGAATTGTGCAAGACTGTTGAATCTCAGATCTGTACCTCTGAAACAAATAATGCAATATATGTTAAGAAAAAAAAAGAAGAAGAAGAAGAAGGTAGCGGGAGGGGAAGAATGAAGCGGGGGAAATCGGAGGGGTGGACGAACCATGAGAGACGAGGGACTCTGAAAAACAAACTGAGGGTTCTAGAGGGGAGGGGGGTGGGAGGATGGGTTAGCCTGGTGGTGGGTATTGAGGAGGGCACATTCTGCATGGAGCACTGGGTGTTATGCACAAACAATGAATCATGGAACACTACATCTAAAACTAATGATGTAATGTATGGGGATTAACATAAGAATAAAAACAAATAAAATTAAAAAAAAAAAAAAAGAGAAGCAGCTGGTCCCATGGAAAGAGTGCTGACCTCTGAGCTGGCAGATGTGTGTGTCACTTATCAGCGGTGTAGCCTTGAGAGCACCTGTCCACCACAAAACGAGGGCACTCCCGTGATAGGCAGAAAGGGCCACTGTCAGCACCCAATGAGCATGGAAGGCTACGGCTGGGATTTGGCTCTGCCCAGAGCACGGCGGTGGGTGGGGACCCTGCAGACCCTCTCCCGCTGCACAGACCCTCCTTGCCCCCAAGTCGCCCATCGTCCTACTCACAGGCCACCTGGACCTCGGTTTGTCGCTGCAGCAGGGCGCCCATCCGGTTCCGCACGATGCAGCGGTAGAAGCCTGCGTGAGTGCGGTCCAGGCTGGTGATCATGTACCTGGGGTGCAGACGAGAGAGCCAGTGAGCAAGGCAGGCAGGTGCAGGGATGCACATGTCAGACTGGGACCAGAGGGCGAAGGTGGCCAGGTCACCCTCTTCCTGAATGGAGAGCACCAGGGAGTTCTGGATTCTCTGGCCACGTCTTGGAGTCACAGGAAGGTCCCTATCAATAGACATATCCCTCCCAAGGGCAACCAGGCTTTAGCTCAGGTGCCTAGGGAGTAGCCTGCATTTTCCCGTGGATGGGAAGTGCTATGCCTGAGCCCTTGATCCTGGCTGTGACCAGGCCTCTTCTGCTGGTCCTCCGCTGGAGGTTGCTGTCTTCCCTTGCCTGCGACTCGCATGACTGGAAAAGGTGGGGGCATTCTATTTTGGCCAGGCCCAGGACTGTACTGTAAATACTAATTGAAATGGATGGGGGTGGCAGAGGCAGGAATGTTCACATGCTTCCCCAAATGCTTTGCATCATCTCACCCTTAACATTCGAGACAGTTCCACTGCAGCTTTATGGAGGAAAAAGGCAGAGCCTTCCGAGCAGGACAGGTTGGCTTTCTGTACATGTGGGCCCTGAGGCCAGGATGCACAAACCCGAGGAGGACGCTTGGGAGCCTGCTCTGGGAGCACGTGACTGGCCCAAAGGGCAGCAGAGTCTGGTGTTGGGGGAAAGGTAGCTGGAGAGCAGGTGTGTGGGGCACTGAGCTGGCTGAGAGGCAGGGAGGAGGCCAGGCCAAATCAGGGAGAGGGGCTTCTGGCAGGTAAGACACGGGCAGGTGGTGCTCTCTGGTATGGAGGGGGCTAGTTCCCCTGGTAGCCCCTCTGTGATCACCTTTCCTGTCCCTGGCCAGTGGATGGCCCAGTAGGAACCTCAGAGGATCAAGGGGCTTGTGCCTAGGACACCCCCCCATCCTTGGGTGTCCAAGTGTTTGCCCAGCTGAGTTGGTGGACAAGCTCATTGCCACCTGCCTCTAGGCTATGCCAACCCTGGGACAGAGCAACCTTATTCTCAAGAGTTGCTAAGTTTTCTTTTACACAAGTTCCAGCCGGGGCTCACCACCACCACCTCCATCACCACCATCCCACCATTGTCACCATCTCACGACCGTGAAACAACAACTACCACTTTCTGAGCACTAGCTATTCCTCTGGCCTGGTCTTAAGTACTTTCCCTTCATTTTTTCATTTCACACAGCAGTTCGCAGACTATTGGATATCATGGACCAGTAACACTCAAAAAAATGGGGCTTGACATAAGACTGTCAACTTTTTACTTTGCCAAGTAAGATCATTAAAACCAACCAACCAAAAAGCAAACAGAAAAACAATCTAGCTACCAAAAACTTAAAAAAGATAATATTAAAAAGTGCTAGGCAGGGAGAGAAAAATAAACAGAAATGGTCAGCATTTTATCTAAAAAGGACATTTTGAGGTCATAGAGAAATGTAACCTCAGCATAAAAGCAATTTTAACAAATTTTAAACTTAAATTTTATGCAAACCCACTACACTAGCTTCATTTTCCTTGTCATAGGTGAACGAGGGCAAACTGCTGTGGGGCTATATATGAGAGTCCTTCACATAATCCTTGGAGAGGGTACATTTATCAGCACCCCCATTTTAGAGGTGGGGAGACTGAGGTTCAGAAATGTTCCTCACTGCCAGTCTCATAGGTGGTCTCATAGGCAGGGCCAGGGTTCTACAGAGCCCGCCTGACCCCAAGCTCAGCTGCTAACCAGTTAAACACCGACGTCATATTCCAAAGCACCCCCCTTCCATCCTGGGACTCACAGATGCCCTGGCTCTGCAGCATGATTCAGAACCTTCTGGCTGTCCGAGCCTCTTATCTCTGCCACCAGCTGCAGTTCTTATCTGTCCCTTGCTACTGCGCACGGTGTGATGGAGGGGAGATAGCAGGCGCCCAGGCTCTGGCAAATTTCCCGTTCTCCTCCCACCCCATCCGCAAGCCCATTACCACTCTCGCTTGCCTCGGCTGCAGGGAGAGGAGATAGCTTTAGGGAAATGGTTTGGGCCTCGAAAACGATGGGGTGACCTGAGAGGAGAGATGGAAGGTAAGATTGGCTAGAACGGCTCTCTATCTTTGAAAATGGAATCAGAAAACTATTAAAAAGGTGCAGGGAGAGGAATATGAACAGAAATGGCCCCCCAAACTAACAAAAAGATGCTCAACCTCCATCACAATGAAAGGCCAATCAAAACAAGACAATGTTCACATATCAGATGCCGAAGACTTTCATGTTTGATCACATGCAGTGCTGGCCAGAGTGGGGGCGGGGAGGCGGGCCCTCAGATCAGCTGGTAGAAGTGCAGAGTGGTCCAGCCTCTGGGGCAAAATCTATCAAAATGATAATAGGTAAGCCTTTTGACCCAGAGGCTGCACGCCTGCGAGCTAGCCTCTTAGATACACTGCAATAATGTGGCAAAAAAACCCCCAAAAACAAAAAACAAAAAACCCCCAAAACAGCAGGTGTAAGGATGCTCAAGGTGGCATTGCTTCGAATGGCAGAGATAAACATGCAACTGGAAACAACCTAGACGTCCGTCAAGAATGCAACTGGGTCAGTTACAGATGCTGCAGCCGCAGGATGAACGAGGAGCACCTGTCTGTTTGAGACAGAATGGTCTCCGAGACACACAAAGCATGGGAAGGAAGTCGAAGCTGGAGAAGGGGAGATACTTATGGAAATAACAACACGAGGAAGGAAGAAGCCAAGCAGTATCGCGGCTGGGCGTCAGGGACCAGAGTGATGACGGACGGTTATGGCTCTCAGTAAGGTGCTGTGTACCCACACAGGCTACCAAACCCTTCGTTTGATGTTTAGTACCATGCAAATCGACCCAATAAAAATAACTTCAGTTTGTGGACCAAAAAAAAACCAGTAAAAAAAGAGTAAATGGTATGATACCATGTGGGTAAATGAAATAGTATACACATTTGTATATATTTGCATACACAGATCACACGTATGTAAAATGTGTATATTTGCATATGATACAAGTACCTAAAATGTATATATTTGCATATACGTGATACACATACATAAAACCTCTTCCAAATGGGGATACTCGATGGATACCTGTTACCTCCCTTTCGGGAGAAGTGCTGGGTGGGGAGGGAGGGAAACGTCTACATTTTACGTCTTTTTATGCCCCAGAATTTCTTTTATCGTATGCATATATTGCTTTTATTTTAAAAATAAAATGTAAAAATGCACTTTAAGCATATAATTTAAGTATACATTATAAAACAGACACCAGGGACTCACTGGATGCGGATTTGTTTGCTGATGTCAGTGATGCGTGGTGAAATTTAAACTTTAATAAAAGTAGATTTCTGCAGAAGGCTCTAGGTCTGTTTGCTTCAGCCTGGAACCCCCGGGGCCCCGGGGAAGGTCAACTGGCTGCAGGCCGGCCCCCCCTCCAAGGCCAGAAGAGGACCGCTGGTCTTGGGCCTCCCTTTGGTCCCCCTGCAGTTGAGGCCAGGCGCTCCCTGGCCTGGCAGAGTGGGGTGCAGCCTCCTCTCCATCCTCCAGCCTCCCTCTCCTCCCCGCCTGGGAGACCTATTTCTGGCTGGATGGCAACATTATTTAAAGTAACAGTTCCGCCCGCTGCCTTTCCTACCAGGGAAGCCCGCTTCACTCCGCCCCAATTGCTGGAGTCTCCCTGCCTCCGAGGCGGGTGGACAAGGCAGCTGGCCAGCATCTCAGCTTGCAAATCTAGTGGGCTGTACGCAACCTTGATAATGAGAGTAGCAGCGCTCATTATCCCTGAAATGCTCCCTTCTGGGCCCTCTGGACACACTCAGCCCACAGCTCCGTCTGCCTCACCCACCTGCGGCTGCTGGCCTGGCAGGGAAGTGGATGAGCCCAGCCCTGTCTGGGTCCCCTCCAGGGGCAGGGGGATGGACGGAATGCCCTGCACAGCAGGGCCCACACCTGATCTGCCCAAGGCGGGAGCATGCCATTGAAGAAAGTACTGGAGCTTCTGACTCTGAAAATTAGGCTTAACTTTCCTCTCTACTCTTTCTTAGGAATGTGGGCTGGGCATGTTATGGAACCTTGCAAGCCTCAGTTTTGCTATCTGTAAAATGGGGACAATGATGGATGTCTTTGATGGGCTCATTATAAGAGGCCCCAGACATAATTGCCAGGCATACAGCAGGTGCCACACAAATGCCTGACAAATGAGGGAGCAGGTGTATGAGTCACTGGCGGGGAGTGGAAGGTATGGGGTGAGGTGGGGAGATTCAGAGAGGAGGACAAGCGGGGTGTGGCAGAAACCCCCCACCGGAGGGGGGATCCATGAGGGGCTCCACACCAAGCATCAGAGTCCCTTGCCTGGCAAATTCTTCAGCTTCCCCATGGACGTGTGAACCCCAACTGTCCCCAGCCACCAGCGAAGGACCTGCCATGCCCCCTTGGTTACCCAATCCTCTTCACTGGTAGAGGGGATTCACCTCAGTCCCTCAGCAGCCAGTACGGGAGGTGTCCTCCTCTTCTGCCTCCTCGGGGACACTGAGGACAGTGAAAATGACAGAGCCCCTTCCAAAGGCTGCTCCTCTCGGCTTCCTGACCCCAGTGAACTTCCCACCACCCGCCTGACCTCCCAACCTCCTGGTCACCTCAATTTGTGTCCTCTGGGTGCAGAGCCTGACCCTGGCTTCTCTGGGGATGAGGAGCAGCGACGGTGGGTAAGGGGCACCTCTTCCTGGCTGACCTGAAACTTTATTCTCCCTCCAATGACAAAGAGTCACAGGTCATGGCTCGAGGGACTGGGGGACACCCGGAATCACCCACCTCGAGGCCCCCTCGAAGGATCACTTATTTATTGATTTCTTCTAGGAAACATATTCACAGGATGCAAAGACTAAAAGAAAAGGCACACAGGAAACGTCTCTCCCATCCCTCTGCCCCAGCTGCCCGGTCACTCCCAGCTCCACACGCACACACAACCACGGCGACTAGTTTCCTGAGTAGCTTTTCAG